GAAATAAAAACCAGTTTCGAAATGAAAATCGTTGCCGGAACTACTAAAGTGAAACATAAGTTCCTGTCCACATAGCACGACATTTTTCAGCAAGTTTGCAGGGCAAACTTACGAAGTTTGCATTGCAAGTTTTCTGCAAACTTGCGAAGTGTATAGAAATGTCCTCAGTGCTGCAAGTTTATAATGAAAACTTGCCAAAAGTTTAAAATAAAAACTTGCCGAAAATTTGTCATGTAAATTGGCTAAAAACTTTCATTGTAAATTAACCGAAAACTACCCTTATAAAATTACTGAAAATCTTCATGTTAAATTTGTCAAAAAATGCTATAGTGACCTACCCAAATTTATCCCGAAATATATTATTGTTATTTTTAAGAAATTTTGCATTGTAAACTTACTAATAATTTGTTTTTAATTTGACCGAAACTATATAAAAATTTAATAAATATTAGGTTATTCTACTTAAGGAAATTAATATTTTAAACTGATGTAATGTTAAAAGGTTAGAGATAATTAACATTAATTTAAATTAGTTATAGTACTACAATTCTTACAATTATATAATAACACACACGGAAAGAATTTCGAGACGTCTGCTATGTCGCTTACCGCGCATGACTTGTACTTCTAGTCCCAGTCACCTGATATACAGGAATCGCGCGAACAGATGTATGAAAGTGGGGGATATCACTTGTCTCGAAAAAATGCACGTCTCATGTGCATAAGTCAAGACAAGAGAAGTTTCGTTCGCATGAGGATCGTGCGTTTGCGTGTGTCACGCGTTTTTTAGGTTATGTTAACTATAGATGCTATTTAGAAGTGTCAAAAGTGATTTGTTTCCATTAAAAGTACCTTACTTTAAGTAATTAAGAATCAAATTCTTATTAAAATAAACATTGCTACGGATGATATTAATAATATAAGAAAATTAAAAATATTTTGATAAATTTGTATTCGCTTTTTTTAATACATTTAAATGTATTTACTTTTATTTTTAAATTCATTGTTGATTAAATTCGTATATTAGGTACAGATAAATTCAAAGTAAAATATATATTGTAATAACATAAGAGTTATTACATGCCGCGACAAGAAAAACTGTAGATTAGGTTAGTCTCTATAACACAATATACCATGATTTGAAACCATGCGTCTATCATGCACCGAGTAGAAAGACACCACGTGAGCATAGGCCCGAACTAACAGTTGCGCCGAAACCAGAACGTTTGATGTCTCGAAAATGCACACCACATGTGCATAGTGAAAGGACATCCCATGCCACGTAGTTCTCGAAGCGTCCGCACAGCAGACGTCTTAAAATTCTTTCCGTGCAGGCACACAAAAAAAAAAGTTGTCTGTTTCTTGAACTAGACATATATTTCCTATAGTATTTTGGGCCGCTGAAACCGAATCTGAGCTCAGAATTGCTCAATCACCCTCAGTTTTTTTTAAATCGACCAAAACCACCCTTAAACGGACAAATTCACACTTCGGAGATAAAAAATAAATCAACTTATATTTTAAGAAAACCGAATTTTACATCTACGAAACTTTGCTCCACTAACTCAAAAACAAAGCCAGCATTGATCCAGCACCCCCTGAATTTTTTTAATTGAAAAAACTACCCCTAATCTGAAGAATAAAATTCAGGAGATAAAACAATAAAATAACTGATTGACAAATTTTATAACCAGAAATTTATACTCCAGCAAGGCAGAAACAAAGCCAGAAATACTCCCTCACCCTCTAAATTTTTTTTAAATCGAAAAACCACCCTTAAATAGTAAAATTCAAATTTAAGAAGTAAAAAAATATTATATTACCGGCTTTTTTTAAATACAGAACCTTACATGTATGTAGTTTTGCTCTACTAACGCAAAAAATAAAGCCAGCATTGATCCATCACCCTCTGAATTTTTTTAAATGGAAAAAACTACCCCTAATCTGAAGAATCAAATTCAGGAGGTAAAACAATAAAATAACTGATTAAAAAAGTTTATAACCAGGTATTTTTACTCCACCAATGCGGAAACAAAGCCAGAAATGCTCATTGCTGGAGTAAAAATTCCTGGTTATAAACTTTTTTAATCAGTTATTTTATTGTTTTACCTCCTGAATTTGATTCTTCAGATTTTAGGGGTAGTTTTTTCCATTTAAAAAAATTCAGAGGGTAATGGATCAATGCTGGCTTTATTTTTTGAGTATTTCTGGCTTTGTTTCTGCCTTGCTGGAGTAAAAATACCTAATTATAAAATTTTTTAATCAGTTATTTTATTGTTTTACCTCCTGAATTTGATTCTTCAGATTTTAGGGGTAGTTTTTTCCATTTAAAAAAATTCAGAGGGTAATGGATCAATGCTGGCTTTATTTTTTGAGTTAGTAGAGCAAAACTACATGCATGTTAGGTTCTGTATTTAAAAAAGCCGGTAATAAAATATTTTTTTACTTCTTAAATTTGAATTTTACTTTTTAAGGGTGGTTTTGCGATTTAAAAAAAATTTAGAGGGTGAGGGAGTATTTCTGGCTTTGTTTCTGCCTTGCTGGAGTAAAAATACCTGGTTATAAAATTTTTTAATCACTTATTTTATTGTTTTACCTCCTGAATTTGATTCTTCAGATTAGGGGTAATTTTTTCCATTTAAAAAAATTCAGAGGGTGATGGATCAATGCTGGCTTTATTTTTTGCGTTAGTAGAGCAAAACTACATACATGTAAGGTCCTGTATTTAAAAAAAAGCCGGTAATATAATATTTTTTTACTTCTTAAATTTGAATTTTACTATTTAAGGGTGGTATTTCGATTTAAAAAAAATTTAGGGGGTGAGGGAGCATTTCTGGCTTTGTTTCTGCATTGCTGGAGTAAAAATTTTTGGTTATAAAATTTGTCAATCAGATATTTTATTGTTTTATCTCCTGAATTTGATTCTTTAGATTAGGGGTAGTTTTTTGAATTAAAAAAATTTAGGGGGTGCTGGATCAATGCTGGCTTTGTTTTTGAGTTAGTGGAGCAAAGTTTCGTAGATGTAAAATTCGGTTTTTTTAAAAAATAAGTTGATTTATTTTTTATCTCCGAAGTCTGAATTTGTCCGTTTAAGGGTGGTTTTGGTCGATTTAAAAAAAACTGAGGGTGATGGAGCAATTCTGAGCTCAGATTCGGTTTCAGCGGTCCAAAATACTATAGAAAATATATGTCTAGTTCAAGAAACAGACAACTTTTTTTTGTGTGCCTGTGTAATTAAAACAACAGCATTCACTATTATGTATATATATATATACATATTTAATATATTATATATATTATATTATTATATATTATATATAATTATATATTGTATATTATTATTAATAATATATATTTAATACATATATTTAATATATTATTCATATTTTGCCTGTAGCATTAACGCATATTCGTGTTTTTCTTCTCCTTCTTCTTACGTCCATTCTGTTAAATTCTGTTAGATTTCATCAGATTCCGTCCAAGTCTGTCATAGTCTGTCACAGAATGCGTACACAAAGAGCGGGCTCTTACAGAACGCTCAAAAGTGCAAAGAAAGGTAAATTTCTGAATACAAATCTAATTCAGCGTTTTACAACGTACTGATTTGACGGAATTCGCATTACATTGCAGATATCGCATACATTTGTAATAATTTGTGAAGTAATGTTTAAATGATTCTTACGGAATCTTAAGTGAAAAACCCCTCGGAACCATAACAAGATCAATTCATTTTTTTCACGAAATTTTTGATTCATTAATATTTACTATTTTTAAAATTAAAAAATTTTAAATTACTATTTACAGTCTTACATTATTTATATTTTTTATTTAAATTCCTTATTTTTTAATAATTTTATTTTCCTGTATGATTTTTTGATAAAATTTATCGCATATACTTCGTTTTCTTTTTTCAATAATTACAGTGGATTTGTTTATGTACACAAACATTACAATCGTCGGTTTAGATAAAAATCATAAACATTTTTCTCTTCTTTATAAATTTTACATTTATACAATTATATATTTTACATTGTAAATACTAAAAATTTTAAATGGAAGGATATATAAGTTAATGAGATACTAAAGAATTGTAATGTTTAAAATATAGTGACAAGCGTCCGTCGTATTCTGAAAAACAAAGTAATAGAAAATCGATTTTTAAATTTTTATTTCATAAATTAATTTAATGAAAGTATTAAATTGAAACATCATGGTGCCTACCGATTCATCAATTTAAAATTCCCGGGGTTTTCTCAGTTTTTCTGTGTTTTAAAATAATTTTTCCGGATAATCTAAATTAAAAATACTGTAATTGTACATAGTATAGTTTTTTCAAATGATACAAAAAGGCTTTAAAAACATAATTCATTTTTATAAATAACATTAGTTACGTAATTGAACATTTTTTTTAGTAAATCACAACGATCAAAATTCTATGAGACCATGCAAAACCACCAAATTATCAAAATTGACATTTTAAATTAGGCTCTTTTTTACATTTTTGTATTGCACGAAAAATCAAGCTCAATCATATTTTTAAATTTTTATATCCATCCCGTTTGCGAGATACCAATTTATCAAAATTTATTATTTTTATATAATAATTTTCAGTTTTTTCATTAGTTTTTTAAAAATTTAACGCAAAGAAATTACCAAAAATTTATTTGCGAATATTTTTGTAACTTATAGATTGTTATAGATTATTATAGAATATTCAATTTTAATAACAATATTTAAAAATTCTTAAAAAATATTAAAAATATTAGCTCCCATGCTAATAAAAAATTAAAAAATAATTTTTTTATGTGTTTATAATTGCGAAAAAATAGTGAGAAACGCATGAATCAACGCGGGACACTCTACAGATTGTTTTCCATCAATAAAAAAAATCGAAAATTTGAAACATTTTTAGAAAATAGCGATTATCTCCTAAAATGAAACCGACAAAGTGGTCACTTTTCATGCGGACGTCTACAATTAAATAATAAAAGCAATAATACCTCAAAGATAACGAAGTACACCTTCAGGAGTAAAGAAATAAGCTGCTAATGTATCTCGCTGACCATACACATCTTAAGGAGCAATATAATTATTCCGAATGTTCAGGTTTCGACATGCACGAATTGCACCGTTGCCTTCAGCGATTCGAACGGGAACATTGTAGTGATAATTCTCAGTAGGATTCAGCAATTCATGGGTGAGCACAAAATTGTGTAAGCATAATTATGCTTGAATAATACATTATCGAATGCTTCAACGAGAAATCTAGGTGATTATTCAAAATTTCAAATTTGCTACCCCAAATTCCGAAGGCTTCTTCGTTCCAATTTCTAGCCCTGGACAATCTGCAACGAAAACCAACGATGGTAATAGGCTTAAAATTTACGTAAAAGGAAGTAGTTATGCTATTTATTTATTTAAAAATTTATTTAAAAATTATTTTCCAAAAATAAAAGTATACAAACAATTTTTTTCAAAAAGACTTGTTATAAATAATTTTTGGACTATTATTTGTATCAAATTTTTGAATAGTTAATCCGAAAACTGAAAATTATTGTAAATAAGTAATACTAAAATATTTCCAATTTTGTAGAAATTACGAGCAATTAGAAAAAAAAATTTTAAACATTAAATATTGTAAATTCCATATTCCGTAAAAGGCTTGACAAAGAAATTTGAAAAAAAAATTATAAAGCTTCTTTTCGTGCATTATATAAAGTTAAAAAAATTCAGCAAAATTAAAAATGATAATTTTTATATGTTGTTTTAACATCGTTTTATATAATTTTATTAATCATTATGATATTATAAAAAATGTTTAATCACGTAAATACTGAAATAATTATTTAAAACCTTATATTGTTTAAAATAGAAAAACTATGTAAGAATATATATATATATTTTTTATTTAAATTATCGAAAAAATTATTTATAATTTCATAAAATAACCAGAAAATACCCGGGAATTTTAAATTACCGATTCGCTAGACACCGTGTTAATGTTTTAGAAAAATAAAATTTTAAATGTGGAATTATAAAATTTTCAATTTCATGAATTTCTTTTATAAAAAAAAAAAATTTTGATTCCTGATTCAAATTCATAACTTTTCCGGAATTATCCCTTACTAAAAACATTCTCTAACTTTTTCCTGGTCGTAGGACACCCTGATAATGATTCGAAATCAGATCAAGTATTTCGGATTGCTGCGAAAAATTACTTTTGAAATTAATTTTCAGCAGGAACGTAATTTACGTTTCTATGAGCAAAAATACAAAAGAAAAGTGAAAAATTACAAATGACGCAGATTAATGAAAATAAATAAATTACCTTTTATTGAAAGTCCTTTCTTCAGCAGTAAGACGGACGTTCCTGTTGTAAGGAATCATGAAATACCTTTTAATTTCGAAAATGGCACCACCAATGAAAAAGTATGACATTCTGATGTTTGAACGTAGTAGATCACTGTCTTGAGGAAGGTCGACTTCATTATGTTCCAACGCATGATATAATTGAGTTTCCCGAAAGCTTGACAAATCGCTGCTAGTACCTAAGAAATGTGAAAAATATATAACTACTGCAGAAATTTTCCGTATTTTTTCCCCTAAAGCTGATGAAATTATGAGAAGAATGAAACTACATCAAAGATGTTTCGTTAATTATTATATGACATATATATGTATATATATATATATATATATATAAAGCAAATGTCGATTTTGCATGCTTCTTTTAATTTTTCAATTTCTCTGAAAGTAATTATTGTTTCTTAAAGTTCTCGGAATAATTAAAATCACTATTTAAAGCAGACTTTGAATTACCTACTGGTATTTTGATATTAATTTTTCAAAAAAAATTTAAAGATGGAACAAAAACATTTAAAAAATTAGTATCCAAAATGACAGTACAAAAACTGTAGATTAAATAGAAATTAAAAATTTTTTTGGAAAAATAAATATCATGGTTAAGTTAAAGACTATTGAAATTTTGCATTAAATAACGATTAAAATAAGTCCAAAAACGTTCATTAGTTTCCTAGAAATTGAAAAAATGAGGAAAGCATGCAAAAACGACATTTCAAAAATTTTTTTTACGGAGAAACTCATGCGTCCGTCCTAGAAGAAGATCCCTCTTTAGTACTCATACGTATTTTTATTCATAGATTACAGGAAAAAATGTCAGGAACCCGAATGGAGACAACAGTTATACGAGGTAGACAGAAAAGAAATGATTTTTTAGCGAAAAAATTGCGACACATAAACCTTCCCCCACAAATTTTACAATTGTGAATCTCGTAATCTAAAGTTCAGTACAATAAGTATTTTTACGTGTAAATTGCAGGAAAAATATGGCGAACCTAATTGTAAGTAGAACAGTTTTTAGCTGGAAAGAAAAAAATCGATCCTGACCCCTCCTTTAACTTCTTTAATTGTGAATTTATTAAAAAAATTTATTGTCGGTTTGTGAAACCCTTCGATTTTTTTTGTATATCTCACAGAAAACTTAACAAAACATCTTCAACTCGGTGTCATTCTTTTCATAATTTCCATCAGCTTTCAGGAAAAATATATGTAAAATGTTTGTTCTGTTTATTTTTTACGTTTTAAGCTTTTATACTCGAAGGCAGTAGTTTATTTTAAAAAATATTTTACCAAAATCGCCTACGTTTGCCCACGTAAAACGGTAAAAGGCATCACACATCGCCAGGACTTTAAAACTTAAAAACTTTTTGTAGTTGTAGAACATGCTGCCTGAGCGCGGAGGAGATATAATTCTAATCTCTTTACCGTCCAGCGCTCCTAAGCAATTAGGGAAATTCCACCTAGTTTGGAAGACCTGTGCGACAATAGTAAGCTCTTCAGCAAATTTCCAAGATAAATATGTTGGTGCTAAAACTTCCCATATTAGTGGACAAACTTCATGTACAATTTGGTATGTTGTACTCTTACCCACGCGAAAAAGGTTTGATAAGAAAATCAAACTGTCTTGTAAATACAACAATTGACATTTTTGAATCGTAAGGGAATATATACTTTTACGTTAGCAGAAAATGTTTGTGTGGCTTAACGTGCCACCGTCGATTACCTCTTCTCTCTTGTTCCAGAGCCGTCGCTACTAATTTTAGCAAATTGAGCCAGTGGTGCATTATCACGACAATAAAAAAGTAGTGAAACATTTTTCTACAAAAAAATTGTAATTAAACACCCAGATAGCACTCAATCTTGGTGCCAGCTTGCCATAAGTTGTACATTTTAAGCATGTGGCAAGCTTGTTCTGCAAACTTGCAAAACTTGCACGGCAAGCTTGCACCAAAATTTACATTTTACATTTTATCTAATATAAATTTTTAAAAAAGTCTAATAAATATAGTTAGAATGATATTTAATATTCATACATTTTATATAGGAAATTATTTTATTTATAACATTTTATCTAATATAAATTTTTAAAAAAGTCTAATAAATATAGTTAGAATGATTTTTAATATCCATACATTTTATATAGGAAATTATTTTATTTATAACCTTTATTTAAAAATTTTATTAAACCTTCAATCGACATTATTTGATACGATGGAAAATATGATCAAACTTGAATATTTAAACAAAAATTGGATCTTTATACATTCTCTGCGGAGTTATAAGCGTTGGAAATTAGCAAAAATCCTGAAAAATATTAGATATTTAAAATTATAATATAATATAAAAAAATTTGCAAAGTAGTAATTTGTTAATAATTTCTTTAAATAAAATTAAAAATTTGGAAAACAGTAAAAATTTAACTTCTCTAAGAAATTTTACTAGGTTTTACATTGACATTTTTTAATAGTTTTTTCAAGATACTAAAAAATCAAGCTTATGGATTTTAAAATATCTGAATTTTTTCAAAAATTTCATAATGGAATATGATTTTAGGTTATGAAAAAAGGCAAAAAAATTATTAGCGTTAAACGAGATTAATTTTTATTACTTTTAATTTTATTGGTAATTCTTTAAAAAGTTAACTTCTGCATGGGTTGCCATAATATTTTTGTAATCCAATTTCCTGAATTCCCCATTTTTCCATGTAAATAATAATTTTTTCCTTGATATACAGATTTCTTATTAGAAGAAAAAAAACATTAAAGGCTCTACAAACATTATAAATAATATAGTAAAATAATCTGTTAATAAGAATAATGTAATCTTAAGTTAAATTATTTTTAAAAATCGTATTTAATTAAAAATATAATAAATATGTCAACGCACGTTTTCCTTATTTTTCATATATTTTTAAATTTAATTCCATTTTATGATTTTTTCCTTCTCATGTGATAAAATGGTAAAATATTGTAAGGTTATGTTCATTACGTGAGTAATGATAAGCATTATAATTTGGTTTATAGTATTCATGTCAGCCTTCAAAATCTAATGCGAATTTCTAGGCTTCTTCTAAAGTAATTGGGTTTCTAGCCTCTACTGTACTTGACATGGCATCCGGAATTCCTTTAATGAAAGATTCTAAGGCACAATGTGCTAATGATTACATCATACTTTTGGCGCTCCTTGCTTCGTATTTATCTTGTAATGCAGCAGTAGCTCCTGTGATTAGTAAGGATATTTTCTCGTAAAATTCGCTAACGTTTTCGTTTCGAGTCATACGCACCGTAGATATCTCTTGTAAATACCAAGTATATGATTTACGGGGGGCAAATCTTGTTTTTAAATGATTTATTAATTGGTTAACAGATACTGTCTCTAGCAGCACCCTTTAATCTAAAAAGAAGGGATTTTAAATATTGGTCTTCACATCCTTTAGGGATGCTAGACGATCCATTTACAATATCTTCTATAAAATCTCTCACGGGTATATTTTTACCATCATAAAGGGTTTATTCATCATTCCCTGTTGTAACGCAAAACACTCGGCCATTGAGGTTATCATAGAATCGGTAAGGGTTCTGTTAATGATACTTCTCCTGTTGTATTTATAGTACTATCCCTAATTGAATATTTTATTAAATGGTCATACCTAAAAAGGAGTTTAAGCTACTTTCTTTAATTAAATTAATAAGTAAAGACTCGCTCTAGCCTTTAGGTTGATGGGCTGACTTGACTTTGCTCGAACTACTGTCGGTCTACCGCGAGCGATATCAGTCAGTAGTTTAAATAAATAATATTATCTCAGAGAACTTTCCTATATATATTTTATTTAATGTTTTTAACACTTTTTACACTAATGATTTTTACTTATAAATGAAACTCTTTAGATTCTGTATTAAGGGAGGATGATCCAAATATATCTGTCAATTCTGGCTGACTGGTATTAATAAAAGTACTAAACTTTACTTGTTTTCCAGCAATTTTTATTTTAACCGTTCCAGACGTATTGATTAATGTAGGACCTGAAGTAAATTTTTCTTTCTTATTTTTAATTAAACTTGGAGAAATTTGATCTCTTATTAAATTAATGTTAATACAAGGATTAATTATGAATAAACCTCGTGAATTTTTTATATCACTTGAGGAAATATGAATTTTTGGGTATATTTCGGTATTACATTCAATATTATTTGAGGGATTGGATCGGACATTACCGAATTTTATTTTCTAGAAAAGCGCCTAGGTGTGATAAAGGAAAGACAAGTTTGGAAAATCTGTTGCGCAGTACGTTCGCGTTCTAAATGTAAAATTTCATAATCTAATGCCCAATTACACAAGCCTGCAAAAAAATAAAATTTCTGTAGTCAGAGATCGAGAAGTCATTTCCTGTAGTTTTTGATGCGCTAAATCCGCATCTGGCAACGAAAACCTCCCATCACGTCAAGATTTTGAGAAATGTGGGGGTAAATGTCCCAAAAATCACGTTTTCGTCAGTTTTTGAAAATTTCTACCGCGTACATCCGACGTGCTGGAGACTTGTCATTGAGTCAAATTAAAGCTTTAACCCTGTATTTACGACGATATAGCGATATTGACAACAAGAATTGAAATTAGATGTGAAAAATGGTTTTTTTAAATTGGCAATCATAAAAATTGACTCACACTGTTCGTAAATATAACTGTTTTAAGAAATACTTGGATTCGTTTGGAATTTGTCACTCGGGGGTTTCCGAGGTTGCGGATTATGGATATGATTTCAGATTTTCAAGATTCAAAATGGCGTTTCCAATATGGCGTACGAGTTTTTTAAAAATTGATTCAATCCGACATATTGGATCCGACATTTTGAAAATCTGACATCATATCCGTAACCTGTGACCCTGAAAACCCCCGAGTGACAAATTCCAAACGAATCCAAGTATTTCTTAAAATAGTTATATTTACGAACAGTGTGAGTCAATTTTCATGATTACCAACTTTAAAAAAACCATTTTTGACAGCTAATTTAATTTGTTGTTGTCAATACCGCTATATCGTCGTAAAGTACAAGGTTTAAGCTTTAATTTGACTCCTACGACAAGTATCTAGCACGTCGGATTTACCCGGTAGAAAGGTCAAAAGCTGCCAAAAACGTGATTTTTGGAATATTTATCTCCATTTTTCTCAAAATCCTGACGTGATAGGAGGTTTTCGTTGCCAGATTTGGATTCAGGACTTAAAAAACTACGGGAAATGACTTCTCGATCTCTGACAACAGAAATTTTCTTTTTTTGCAGGCTTGTGTTATTAAAGTAATCAGTGTTGAATATTATATCTAAAAATGGCGCGCCTAAAATACCTATAATTTCAGAATCGCTCTCAACATTTAAAACTCCAATATTTAATGAGAAATCATGAAAATTTATTCTTACACTGCCTCTAGATACGACTGTATTTCGACGGGCGAAATGTATTCCATTAGTATTAATATAGACAATTGATGATAATTCTGTTTCTTCGATTAAGTTTATGGTCAAAGTATGATCAATAATAAATTTTCCTCTATTTAATTTAAATGAAGCTGATATTAATTCAACACTTGGATATCTGTATCTATTATATTCAGTATGAAAAAAAAAGTTATTTATTTAAGTTATTGAATGTTTAATTTTCTTTAAATGCTGCTTCGTTTATGTTTAGTTGCCCAATAAATGAAGGAAAAAGTACACAGAGAGAAAAAACATACTTTTAAAGTATGGAAATGACTCCTACTATTTTGTCATGGAATTTCCCTACGGTTTAAGCATTAATTCAAGCGTTTTTCGTATGGAAGCATTCTATACTAAACACGCATGCCAAATATACTCTCGTAGTAAGGCCTTTATACTATAGAAGCAAGAGCGCCACGCGGCAAAAGCATGGAACATCATGCTACTACGATTGTATTAGTCTCATGGTTTTTCGGTATTAGACTTTTGCAACGGGCGATTAAGCCATGCCCCCTTCTTGTCAAGTGCTGATTCTTTAAGTTTTTCAACAATTTTCTTTTAAATTACACAATAAAGTTTTTGCTATATGTATATATGGAGCTTTCTTCGTGAGATTTTTGTTCAATATTTTTTTTCGAAATAAATAATAATGGTTTAAAAACGTGAAAAATAAAAATTATTTTTGTTTATTAACTTTTGAACAAAATATTTTCAATAAAATTCAACAAACAGAATTGTAGAAAAGCTTTCAAATCGCAAAATGAGCCCCAACCAAAAATTGCAGTATAATACCAGAGTTCAGGAATGCCGCAGTACTGGATCAGTATTGGCTGACAAGAGTGGGCAGTATGTACTGAACCAGTACTGCTATTTGCATCTTATCAGTACTGTACAAGTACTGACAAACCACTACTATGTCGACATTGAGCCAGTACTGGCTAAAACAGATTTTCTATTTGATTACTTTTCAATGTTTAAAAACAGAAATATATATAGAGCAAAAACTTTATTGTGTAATTTAAAAAAAATTGTTAAAAAACTAAAAGAATCAGCATTTGACAAGAAGGGGGTGTGGCTTAATCGCCCGTTGCAAGAGTCGGATATACTTCCGAAGTAGGGGTACCTCCGATTTTAATAAAACTTGGTATACGTATTTTGGTGCGCTGATTACGAAAATGATAGTGAAAATTGACGCAAATTTGATTATCATGGTAAAAACCATAAAAAACACCATAAAATCATGGTTTTTTGCGATTATCTTGTAAAAAACGCAAAATTTCGAAAAAAGTTTTAGACAAAAGTTGTAGATCTCAAAAAACACACATTTTATGTTTTATGCATTTTTTACCAAAAGTAATTATTTTTCGAGAAAAATCCAAAGAACGATCAAAAACGCCACAAAATGATGGAAAAATAGTAACTATAATTTGGTAGTTGTAAATATACTAACGTATTTTGGCGCCCTGATTACGAAAA